CGGGGCCGGGTGTGCCCACACCTGACTCCCGGGACCCCCGTCGGGGCTTCGGGGCCGGGGGTTGACAACCCTGCCAGAAACTGACGAATGATTACTGTTGCGACTTCGAATGGCACGCAGTAGCCAACTTGGGAACAGACACGCAGACACACGCACAGACCATTCATACACACACATCCATAGACATATACACAAAGACACACAGACATCCACATAGGTTCATACATAGATGCCACACACACACACACACACACACGTCGATGATGTCTTTGTGCGTTTCCGCTGGCAGAGAGAAGAGGACGAAAGACAAACCGTACACATCATGTCGATGTCAGTAGCACAGGTGGAGGCTGGTCTTGCAGAGGTAATGAACTATGCAAAGGAGGGCGTCCACTAAAACGGTGACAGCGAGTTGTCTTTGCTTCAGGACAGGGTGCCGAGGTATTTCATAGTCGCTGTGGATATGAGATCCACAATCATGGCAAACGGCGAAGGCTGTGTCAAAGCACGAACACTCTTGCAATGCTTCAGAGAGTCACCACATGTACGTGTGGACAACGATATGGAAGACAGTGCATACAGTCTAAAAGGAGTGGTCCAGTGGATCTGCACCGAAGGGATGTGCGAAGAAGGAGATGTGGATATGACAATGCAACAGACAGGGGGGGCATATACACCTGCAAACTTGGGCAAGTTGCGGGGCACTCTCGCACGGAATGAGGGAATGCTGGTTGATGGGTCGAAGGACGAGTTGAAGAGTGGTGCTGCAGAAATATTGGTGTCGTCCATAATGAAGGACATTACACAAACACCGCCAGAAGACTTTCAAGATATTCTTGTCATTGTCGTAGATGGTGTGGAATATATTCTGCTGGATCAACTTGTGGACTTCATGAAAAAGAGTGACGACGACAGGGGTTGCACGAAGTGACAGAGTTTCCACTGCAGGGTCAAGATCTGATAGAATTTGTGCCAGCAATAACAGAAGACAACATCATATCTGGTAGACCGTTGTGGGGGGAGTTGTTATCAGCTGCTTTGGAGCGGCTCGGTCTTGCAAACTGCGATGTTGAGAGACAAAGAGAAAGAGAAGAAGGGTGGAAGGTGACGGCCACGGAAACAAATTTAGCAATCATTCCAGACAATGGACAGACATCAGCAGCACAAGAATCAATAACGAGTATGGCAGTCGATGCGCCTCCCATGCAGACAGCAACGAGAGAGCAGCTAATGTGTTGCGATATCTTCAATGCTTTCACAATGGAGAAAGAACAATGTGATCATGGATTTGAAGAGGCCGATTTGCCAAGTTGTTGTGCACAGCATACAGACATTGCAGAAGAAGAAGATGAAGAAGAGGATGAGGGGGCATCATCTTTTGACGTGGAAGTGAGCGGCAGCGATGTCAGCAACGATGAGGAAAACGAGGAACATGATGTATACTATGATTTGAAGGCTGCGGGTGGACAAGTGACAAAAGGGTGGGCACATGCAATTCTGAGGTTGGCACGTACTTTTCCCGATCCTCACAAAGTGCTGCGTGTTGTGATGAAGGGGGCAACACCAGATGGTGCACTACAGTATGCCGCAGTGACCAGCATAATGAAATCATGCAACAAGGGGAAAAAGTGGTCACGTGTTGGCAAGGGATGGTTTGTTCTGGTCAATAGAGAGGTTGTGCTAGCAACGTCACTGACATGGGGAGTCAACCTGAGTTGCCTCATACACGGCGCAATGGCGACAGTTTGGGGAGAGACATTACACCCCGACTTGTCAACAGGAGACACAATAGTTAGTGTTCGGCCACGGCAGCGACCTGAAACACACCCACACACCACGACAGATCATGTTAGACATCACGGATGATGACAGACATGCATCCCTCAACCTGTACATCCCTTTATGTTTGCCTCAATTTCAACGACGCTCGGGTTCACTACTGCGTGCCATATCAGTGTCCACCGGTGCTGTTTGTTGTCGTTTTGGCCCGCACTAGTGAACCTTTTTTTTTTCCTCTCTCTCTCTCTCTCTATATATATATATATCTTTCTCTCTCTTTCTCATATGTCGAGTTATAGCTATATTAGAACCGCTACATCCACCTGCGGGTTACATTTAATGTTGCCTGTTGTTTGCCTCTCCAAGAGAGAGAGAGTTCACTACAGCGTGCAGACACCGGATTTAACAATATTTCAATCATTTGATGATTGTTACGATGTATGTCATAATTTGTTGCCTTTTGGAGTACGTGAGACACATCAGGCACCCTGTGATGACCAATGTGTGTATGTTGTGTTTTTTTTTTATATTCTCTGTAATTTAAATTCAAATGTAGTAGGTTGTGAAATGTTTTGGAAGTTTGTGCGGAGGTCGGCTGAGGTGCCGAGGTGCAATCATTTTCATGCGGATATGGAAAACACATACCACATTCACAAACGTCGTGGATGGATAGTTACGAACTTGGCCAGCCGCAAAACTGTGGTGATGAATGTTGTGTCATATATTGTGCACCATGCATAAGTCGTTGCCTCTTCGTGCACAACCATAGAACCTGTCATGGCATATAAATTATTGTGTCGCACGGTTGACTACTAATCTTTGTCAATTGGGATAAGCAACACATACCATTCGTACCAAAAACGGCAATCAATACTCCCTCTCTATCTTTTTCTCACAGAGAAGAGGATGTGCGACACTTACACAATATAACAAAATGTGCTCTGCAACTTTTAATTCTAACGACCTGAACCAATCTAAAAAATGATAATGAAAACACTGTCCGCACCGCTCTGTTTGTTTTTGGAATGCTGTGCGTGCACAAAAAATGAACAGTGGTCCACGGGTGTGTGACTGTGGTAGACCTTTCATGTCATTACGAACTTTGAACTCACATCGTGCAAGGGCATGCCCGGCCGTGGCGGACGAAAGAACACATGGCCAGGAGATGGGTGTGGTCGATGACGCCGGAGCATCAAATATAGGTGCAGTGAATCTCGTGAGCGATGAGAGTGAGGACGTCGGGGCTCCCGGGAATGTAGATGGCGAGGGCGGGACATTCGAAGAGCAGCAACCGCAGCCTGTCGAATCTTTTGACAGCTCTTGCAAGCTGGCGACACTGATTTTCTTCGTCAGGGGCGGCGTTGGTATGTCGCAGAGCGACATAGATGCTCTCTTGTTACTTCTCACGGACTCCAGATTTTGCACGAGAGACATTGTGTATCGTAATAGTCGAGAGTGTTTGACATGGGCAGGGAGTCTAGCAGACGCTGCTGGACGGAAAGAGTTGGATCTACGTTGTGACGATTGACCATGGGATGCGCACTCCATCTTCTGGCACCGCGACTGGCGAACGACATTTCGGTCGATTTTTCCTATCACATTACAGAAATGCGAGATGGTGTCTTCTCTAGAAGTGTCTCTGCCGTCAGAGCACCTCAGTATATCCGGCCCACGCAGTGGGGCACTAAGTTATCACATCCAGTCGATCATTCGAGCGGACAAAGGCGTGGACGAGAATGGTAATCCACGTTATGTTATCCCTCTTTCATTGTATTCCGAAAAGACACATACAGACGATCGTAAAAAACATACGGCGTACCCTCTGATGATGTCAATATGGCGCACCCTCTGATGATGTCACTAGCCGACCACGCATCCGAAGCCACACTGCTGGCCTATCTTCCTATGCTTCCGCGTGACAAAGGATGGGGTCCGCAGTCCACCGCATTCAAAAAGCGAAAGGCCATCATTTTGCACAAGGCCCTTTCAGTGGTGTTGCAGTCTGCGAAGGAGGCATCTCATGACGGAATAATGATACCGACAACGTGATTCGGGAATATAGTTGTCCACCCTTTCCTCCTCAACTATATCCAGGACTACCCAGAACGATGTGTGATTACAACTGTGAAGTTTGGTGTATGTCCGACATGCACCGTGTCCAAAAACGATTTTGATGTCATAGCCGATTTCACAGACTGTAGGAGATCACAGACGCTGGAAACACACCTCACAACAGATGTGTTCATCGTCGACGACATCGATGTTCGCCGTGCAACGGAAGCACGAATGTCGGAGTTGAACATGCATAGGCATGTTCAACAGAACGGCCTTTGGGGGTTGTACAGGGGCCCCAATAGTGATGATCCTCAACTAGACTACCACCTGGCATTGCAACCAGACTGTATGCACACAATCGAGCACGGCATATTCCTGCACATGATTGACATATTCAGGACCGCAGCCTTTGAGAAGTTGCCGCACTTACCGCAAATAGAGATTCTGAAGGAACTAGATGCAAGGTTACAAAGCATTAGTGAGAGATGCACGCGAACATACCCCCAACTTGTGTTGCCTGTGGCCACTGGCAACGACTTTTTTTCGAGGGAGGGACGGTTCGAGGCGAAACAAAACCGGTCTGTGATGACAGTGTGCGTGTTCCTTATTCCTAATATTATACCGCACTCGACAGACAAGGGCATTACCGTTTGTTTTGTGAAACTGATGGAAATGTACATACGAGTGTTTCGGTGTACAACACACAGTCGTGCTTCGCTCGATGAATGCGATGCTTTGATCATGGACTTCGTAACGACCATCAAAGGAAAATTGGAAAAATATCAACCATCAACATGAAAACTCCCCACGTTGCACGATCTCATGCATCTGACAACGTGTATTGAGCGATCCGGTGTCCCCGACACCTTCGCGGCAGATGTTTGGGAGCATCACCACAGGAAATTCTGCAAACAGCCATACCTGTCATCAAACAAGCGGAAAGTTTCAACCCCCATGGTAAACCATGTGCGGCGGTCATTGGCGTTGCGACAAGAGATCGGGATCGTGAGGAAACAGAGGAAGAGAACGGTTGAGAACCGGTCGTCCGTGACAGATTGTATGGCCACCGGAATGAACACCCTCGCACTACGCGACACGACAATGCTTCAACTGCAGTGGTTCGACATCGATGACGAGTACATACGCGAGGGAGAATGCATTGACAACCATGCGTGTAAGATACTCGAAGAGTTTCCTTGCAGATGCGATTTTCGACTTGCGCTTACGACATACATGGTGGAGAATGGTTGTCAACCTCCTTCTGGCGACCTGCTTATACACACACGGACACACCTGGCCATCGCTTGCGTACAGGACGGAACAAACAGGGGCACACTTGTTCAAATTGCAAGAGCGTCGCTACAGTTCTAAGGGAGACCAGTGCACAGTGACGTCGCAATTAGAGCAGGCAACGAACGCACATGGTTTGCATCAGTAGCCATGTTTTTTGTTGTGGACGCACCCGCGGACAGCGGTAATATGAAACACAACTGCGGATTTGTGAAATGGTACAAGGAGGTCGACAGTGAACGGCAACACATGACAGGTTGCAGGAAATTGAAATGGGAGAAGTTGAATGGACATCAACACAGTATCGTCGTTTCAACCGACACTACTGTAGACGTAATTCACATTGTTCCGCGCTTTTCTAAACCACAATTGGGATCGAAGCAGCATGCAAAACAGCGTGAGGACTGTTTTTATTTGAACAAGTACATATTGTAAAAGAAACAAATGCAAACCAAGTTTCTATGTTTGCTAAGAGAGAGAGAGAGAGAGAGAGAGAGAGAGAGAGAGAGAGAAAGAGAGAGAGAGAGAGAGTGTTTCTATCTGTCGTTGCCACGAGACAATCATGTTGTTTCTTCCGAAGTATAGGGGAACAAGAGAGGACATTAATCTCTTTCTTTCCGTTATTTGTTGAGAAATATCATGTCAAATGTGGCCAAGCTTATGAAGCGGTGAAAACCACATGCGAGACGAAAGTGTCCCCAAAAGTTCGCTACTGCGTGACATTTACGTGGTCAACAGTGATAGTCGTTTTAGTTTTGGCATGTAGTACCCAACCTCTCTCTCTCTCTCGCTCTCTCTCTCTCTCTCCCTCCGAACTATCCTATAAAAACGATTTGAAGTTGTTAAAAAAAATAACGAATCGTCTGTGTCATTCCAATTTGACCGACACATGTGAACAGGAACAGAAACTTACGACGTCGCGCAGCGTTCGGGAAGGAGCGACACAGAACACTGAACAACAGGGTGCAGGTAAGAGAAGCCGAGCGAGGATCACAAAGTCACAAAAAAGTAACACATGTGATGACGACGCGAAGTGCTCATATGTGGGTACGGAATCGGTCATCGGTCCAAGGATGGAAAATAAAGACGAACAGCACCGTAGAGAGGTGGCAAGCGAACCGTTGTTGCCATTGACCAGTGAGAGGTCAGCAAAGAAGTGACAGAAAATGTTGAGGGACCCTTGGTACTCAGAAATGTACGATATAATGACAGAGGGTGAAACAAAGTCTCCCCAGTTGATAATCGAAGCACTAAGGGAAAAGTGAAAGTCGGGGACATGACGAGAACGAGAGAAGAGCAGACTGACATTAATGATGACGACGAATTGACCGTTGGTTTGACCGTTGAGGTCGTCAAAGGACGATGCGAGGAAAGTTCACTACTGCGGGTATTTGTTACATAAGAACCGGTGGCTTCACCAGTTGATTGACCCGCAGTAGCCAACCTTCTCGCGGTGATGGTCGGGGACATGTTCGAAGTTTTTCTTTGCTCACTATTTTTTTGTGATTGTGACTATGCGAACCCGTGCCGCCTGACAATACGGATACAGTTATTCTGACGCACAAAGAGGTTGGTAACTTAAATGACGTCGCAGTATCAACAGTAAGATCTTGGTAGTGCCTCTCTCTCTCTCTCTCTGCGATACTCTCTCTCTCTCTCTCTCTCTCTCTCTCTCTCTCTCTCTCTCTCTTTCTCTCCCCACCTCACATTGCCAACAACCGTTTTCTTTTTTCTTCTTCTTCTTCTTCTTCTTCTTCTTCTTCTTCTCTCTCTCTCTCTCTCTCTCTCAATGCGGCCATTACACTTCATGGGTGTATGGATCGACGTACGATATTGCTAACACAGTTATTGTTCGTATTCCACTATGATGTATGTGGGGAAAAAATGGTCATCGCTCCAAAGCCAAAATACGAGGATCTCTGCAGGTCTTTGAAGGGCGTGGGAAAGAAGGACAAAAGGAGGAAGAAATGCAAGGCTGATAAGAAAAAAAAAAGGAGAGACCATCGCAGAAGCAGATCCCAGAATGCAAAAACTGAGCGGAACAGCAGCCGCAGAAACGAATCAAAAGTTTCTCTCCCATCAAGTCAGAGGGGGATTTCAAAGCTGAAAGAACGCAATGAGTCACCCCCTGCGACTCGTGCCCCATGGAACCGTGCTAGCGGCGTCGAGAACCGTCCACCCAAGGCCCCCGATAAGAGGTCGCGAAAATACGGAATGTCAAAGGTGCACCACAGGACAAAGAAGAGAATCACATACAAAAAGGATAGAATGGTGGAGATGATCGATCTGAGAGCCTCGGACGATGTGGACATCGCGGCCCGAGAGAAAGCAAAAGAGGAACACGACCAGTCCATATCAGAAAAGTCTGACGGGGAGGAGAACGAGGCAACAAGTGACGACGGAGGTGACACTCAAACTTCCGACGGACATTTTCGCGACACTCACGACGCTGATGACCAGGACGGCAGGAGCAGCGACGGCACAACGCAGGACGAGGTCGGTGACGGGGCAGGCGAAGACGACAGAAGCGCGGACGGAAGAGGGAGTTCCCCATCTCCGAGAAAAACGCGACGCACGAGGGAACCCGAAAGTGGCGGCGAGGGAGGCGCAGCCGACGCGCCCTCCATTGACAGACAACTAGTGAGGCACGACAACGCAGTTAAAAAAGGTAAACAAAATGTCTTGAAATTGCTCCTCTTGCATAACGATTACGTGGTGACGGCGCAAAGCGATGACATTTCCTTATTGCGAGGTTGTCGCTCTGATGAACTTACAGTTGAAACAGGCTGTCGAATTTGGCAGGTGCGAAAATGCGTGCGAAATGCGGAGTTCTTAATATTATTCTGTGCGTTGTAATGTGTGTCTTCCAGCAGATGGCACAGACTCGCAAAGAAAAGTGTGCGCGAGCAGGGAAGGACAACAACAAGGCAATCAAGAAAGCGGCGTATTCTCGAAGAAAATGAAGGACAGACTGTTCCGGGCGGTCGCAAAAGCCTTTGCGTTATCAGCAGCAAAGGACGCAACTCTGTACCCAACAGAGGATGAATTTTTCACGGCGCTGCAAACAATGGTCAAACTGATAGGCGAGAACGCCGAGGAAGGACTGCGATCACACGTAGCAGAGTGCGGGATTCGAGCAGTCATAGGGGAGTGCCAAAGAATGATGACAACCGTGTGTGGAGAGATAACATGGCAACTGAAACATTGGTTCTGGGCTGAAAAAGGGATCCCGCTTGTACGATCGCAAGAAACAGATCACCAGCTCCCTACTTGCAACAAGATGCGAGCAGAGATGAAGGAAAACAAAACGTGGAGACGGAGCGGCAACGATCCTTGGGGCGCCCCAGCCTTCAAGACGACACTCTCCAAGGTTTTCCAGATGAGGAGGGGCGGCGTAAACCTTAGCGTGACCCTGCAGTAACTGGCTTTTGCAGAGATGGTTCTGCAATATGAAATCGAGCAGACAACAAAGACCACCAGAGCGGCGGAGCAAATAGGAAAATTGATCTCTATAAAGCAGGACATCACATCATCTGTCCGCAGCCGGGATACAGTCATGAGTTTTTCGATCTTCAAGCTGTACCGTGCCGTATCTTTTGCTGAGAAGGCTGCTGCGCTATTTCGAGTTGGCGTGCCCTCTGTCCACAGGAGTGGGCCACACAACACAACAATAACGGATGACGATTTCGACCTGGAATTCATTGCACCGCAGCATGAGAGAAGCAGAGACGGGGAGAGAGATACAGAAAGTCTGTACGCCAGACCTTGAACAGCGGGGGGTGGGGGGGAGGGGGAGAGGGGTGGTGAAAAAAATAGTGTGAATCAGAAGGTTCATTATGGAATCTGTGAATCAGAAGGTTCATTACACAAGGTCACGGTCATTCCATGGGAGGGAGAGAGAGAGAGAGAGAGAGAAAGAGAGAGAGAGAGAGAGAGAGAGAGAGAGAGAGAGAAAGACTCTGAACCATAGCACTTGAACAGTCACTTTACAACATATGGTCTGTTATTTATGATACACAATTATACAATCCCTTGTAATGGTCATCTTTGTGTGATTGGTCATAGAGCGACTATGTTATGAAAAAAACACCATCCGTGGTTGTCATCATCATAGAGGTTGGTTAGTGCGTGTCACTCTCTCTCTCATGCCACCATGTTGCTAAATTTGTGTCACGCRGTAGTGAACCRTGCTTGTAGCAGGCCATCTCAGCATTTAATCGAGGCTCCCACACGCGTCCGTCCATAGAATGAAGTACGACAATCCTACAGACTCGAAAAGGAAGGTTGGCTACTGCGTGTCACTCTCTCTCACGAACTACCATTTTGGTAAATTTGTGTGACGCAGTAGTGAACCGTGCTTGTAGCAGGGCAACTCAGCATTTAATCGACGCGCCCTCACGCGTCCATCAACAAAATGAAATACTGCAATCCAGCACCAATAAAAAACAAAGGTTGGCTACTACGGGCCAATGTATGTCTCGCACCGCCATGTTGGTGAATTTGTGTCACGCAGTAGTGAACCCTACTTCCAGCTCTCTCTCTCTCTCTCTCTCTCTCTCTCTCTCTCTCTGACCCTCTCTCTTTATCTTCAGTCATTGTGATCGTTGCATGTCAAGAGTACTGAAAGACTCAACGATTGACATTTGCGAAGGAGCATATCATATCGTGCAGCAGGAGAAAATGACTGGAAGAAACGGTGAAAACCGACGACATGAGCCAAAAATAACGATTTTTTTCCCATACACAGAACGTAACGTTCTACGAAAGGTGAACACGTTTTCAACACGTTTCAACAAGTTTTCAACACGTTTCAACACGTTCTTAACACGTTCCAACAAGTTATTCACAAGTCTTCAACAAGTTTTCAACAAGTTGTCAACAAATGGTCAACAGATGGACCAACATCCTATCAACAAATGGACCAACAGATGGACACACCAGTTTCAGTGAGCCCAATGTTTGGTCAGCGTTGGTTTCCTTCACTTTTGGTGGAACACATGACCCCCCCCCTGCCAAACAATTTATAAACAAAGTTCCAACGGTTGAAATGTGGTGTCCACACGTGATCATCCTGCAAGAAAATTTGCCACAATTTTTCTGTTGTGCTTGCAAAGAAGATTGATTATGCCTATTTGGGATGAAGAAAAGGATTATCCTCTTTATACTTTTCGCCTGCCTGCTTGTTAAAAGGACTTGTTGTTCTGAAAAATATGTATTCAGTGCATGACGTAAACGAATCCGATTGAAAGAAAACAAATAAGGTCAAACGGACTTGGATTTTTCTCAAGGATTGATCCATTATATCCCGAATGACCCTATCTACCTATACCTGTCCAAATGTCTCGCATTCTTTATCTTCTTCGATTTCTTTTCGTCCAAGATACCCAAAACTTAGGGGAAATAAGAATAATTGAAAGTTACTTGCAATTGATACATCTTCTACCTCTAGGAAGCATCCGAGACAGGGGTTCGTTCCTTCAGGAGTCGATCCTCTTATCGACCCGGAGTGGACCGTTCTACGGAGGGGTATTTGTCGATTCGGAGGAGACGGTCCGACTTCTAAGATCCGAGTTTTGTGCTCGGACTAGGAGGAGGAGTACCCCATACCACTTCCTAGAGGGAGAGGCATGCGACATCTCAAGCAATGCCCCTGATCAAGAATCATACGAAAGGTAGCTTGTCATCCGACTCGGAAAAGATTAGAAACGGAAGAAGACAAAGATGTGTGTCTAAACCTACGTTGGCGGTAGGTGGAATGAATGGCTTTGGCAATGCGTCTCATCAAGTCCAAACTAAGGCAGATCGACTATCTTGTCGGCCGCATCTATATTATTATCGATAGTCAACTTCTTGCTGAAGGTTGTATGATTGTTTTGGGACATTTGACCTGAGGTGGTCGGGTTGTTTTTTATCTTGTGTTGTTGAATGTATTAGATGATGATTTGGATTCTCCCAGTTATTACTTTGGGTTGAATATATATTCGTATCGACTACGATCGATTCCTTTTGATATATAATGTGTGGATATTGTAACTTTCTTTTGATTGTKTGTTAAAGGGACTACGATCAATGTWGGGTTCYACGCTTGGTTGAGACCGTGCTAGTCGACCGCTRTTGCTCTGCACCTAGGAGATCAGYGCCCTAGGAACGGACGACGTTCGGGTCCGCTTGGCGATAACCAAGCGTATCTATACTACAAAGAACGAGTAAACGCCCTCGGCTGACCTACCTCTGCAATTGCATCTAAAGCTTTCGCACGTGTGTCAGTAGCTCGGTAGGGATACGCTCGTAAGGGTGGTGACAGCCCCTTAGGGAAGGAAAGCTTATGCCCAACGAGAACCTATCCTGTCAAAGGGGACCGCGGGATGTACAGCTGGCGCAACCGGCTAGAGCGGCGAAGGGATGACGCAACCACGGCTGTCTTGGCGAGCCCCGTCCTGGTGGCTCGCGGAATTAGCTAGGCGTCGTTCCTAAGTTGTCTCATGATTTTTGTTTTGTATTACTCATGTGTGACATGGTCGGGAGGGCTCCCGCACCTTTGCAAAAAGGCGGGAGCCGATGCGTTCGACACCGCGACGACAACATGCGGTACATGACAGACACTAGTACACATTCTAATAAGTCGGGTGGATGAAACACTCATCCCGCAAGCTTCTACCCTCGCATTGGTAAGCAGCGGATGCAGGGCCGATGCCACCCGTCGCCACTGCTCCTCCACATCATTCTGATGGCAATAAGCGCAGAGCCTCCTTACCAGGTGACGACACCTCTCAAGAGTGCACCGATGTATGTGTGGTCACGAAGACAAGACGACAATGAAGTCGCAATCATTCTCCCCGAAACCCACGGGTTGAGGGTGCTGAAGTTGAGAGTCGAAGACCGGGCACCACCTCGTCCCTCACTTGTATGTCTGGCACGTCGTTATCTTTGACCGCCTCGCCAGGTGAGTATCTTTCTTTTTCTCTCACCTCCGCTTACTCCCTTTTCTTCTCCCTCTTCCTCTTTCTTCTCCTACCACTACTCCTCCCGCTACTTTTCTTAATGTCTCCCCCACACGCCACCTACTTCTCCTTCTCCCGTGTGCGCCCTCGTTGTCTTCTCCGTCTCCCTGCTTCTTGCAGCACTCAGCTCTGCGCGGTTTCTATGCAGCCCCCCCCTCTCTTCTTCGTCTTTCTCCTCCTCTTCTCCTCTTCCTTTTCTCCTTCTTTTTTTTTTTTTTTTCTTCTTCCTGCTTCTTCCTTCTTCTTCCTTCTTTTCCTTCTTCTTCCCACACACTTGTTTCCTCTCATCGCGCAACCATCCTCCTCCTTATCTATTTCGAAGTGCCCCCCCCCCGTCTGGACTCCGAGGTTGTTAGCTCCCCCTTCTCGCGATCCGCGCTACTTTGTCCCTCTCCCAAGCTGTGAGCCAGTATCGAGCGGCCCTCTCGACTTCGAGGTCGGGATTCTTTGGGTATCGGGGTGTTTTTCGATGAATTTACCGCGGATCTCGCGACAGATTCATCAAGACAAACTATCTGAAATAACTACGAGTCAAAAAAAAAAAAAGAATAAAATAAAAATAATCAAAGAAAGAATTTAAATGTTAAAGATAATAAAGATAAATAAAAGAAAACAAAAGAAAATAAGATAATATAATTGCTAACTACCCTGATGTGCCAAGTGTCGGACCCCGTTATAGCRTRGGCTCTA